TTATTAGATATTGTAATAAAATAAATAATTTATATTTGTTAATTAATTTTTTATTAAAAATTAATTATTAAAAAAATGAATTAGTTAATTTAGAATATAATATCTTAATCTTTAATAATCTAATTTAAATAAAAATAATATTATTTAATTTATCTAGTTAAGTTAAATTAAATAAATTAGATTATTAGAGATCAAGATATTATATTCTAAATTAATTAATTAATTTTGATTAGTATTAAAATATGAATTTATTACTTTAAGATATAATATTTTAATATTTAATAATTTAATTTAAATAAAAATATAATTATTTAATTTATTTAGTCAAGATAAATTAAATAATATTATTTTTATTCAAATTAAATTACTGGATATCAAAAATTAGATTATTAGATATTGAAATATATATTATGAAATAACTGATTATATTTGGAATCTGAGAATTTATAAATATATAATATCTAATATATAATATAGAAGCTCTATCAATTTATAAAAGATATTATGATTAGTATTTGTAATATTTTTTGTGCTTGGAAAAATTTAGTGCATTATACATAATTTACAAAAAGTTAGAGAGAATTAGATACTTTTACCAAGCATTGTATGATATCAAAAATATTTTTTGATAATTCTTATAAATATTTTTAAATTATAATCAAATTATAATTAAATTTTTTTATAGTTATCATACTTAAAAAGTAAATCAAATAACTAAAGAAAGTATAATTAAAAGAAAAATTTTTTAATTATAATTAATTATTAACTAAGAAATTTAAAAGAATAACTATAAAAAAATATAACTATAAAAAGATGTGATTATAAGATCTGATCATATAGTTAAAATAAGATTGATTAAAATTATTATAAAAATTTAAATATTTATAAAGCTTGTATATTTGGTTATATATTAAAAATATTTATTTAAATTATTTTGAAAAATATCAAAATATTATAATTTAGAAATTATATTAAATTATATACTAATAGTTAATTAGTATTTTAATATTTGAAGAATCTGTTATATTACTGAAATTCAAAAAGATTTGCAATAAATAAAAATGTATTATATATTAATAATTAATTAATGGGAGTATCAGCGCTCATAATCGTTGGAGGAGGTACATTATTACTATAATCATCTTCATCCTCTGATTCGGAACTAGATGATTTAGACTCTGATTCGGTTTCGGAGCCAGATGATCCTGAATAAGAACAGTAGTAATCTTCACCAAAATTTTCGATATGAATATTTTGATTGAGCTGATCTACTGTATGTCTTTTCTGCTAATATTTTCACATCCTTCCAAACCTAGAAATTTTAAATTGAGACACGAGCGAGCAATTTCTTTGATGGTCGTACTGGTAACATTACAGTGACTAAGGTCAAGATGTTGGAGCTTTGGGCAGGAACGTATAACATTATAAATTGATGGTTCAGTAATAAATGCACACCCCCCGACATCAAGCCATTCTAATTTATGGCATGCCAGCGCTTCAATGACCTCATCACCAATATCATTACTACCGATTTCTAAGTGTCTTAAATTTGGAGATCCTTTGATGATAGCTATAATTAATACATCATTCTACAAAGCCATGGCACCACTAAAGTCAAGATACTCTATATTGAGGCAACTTCGCATTCAAGTACTAGCATCTTTGACCTCTCCACGTGGGCATGAGTTTAAGATGCAACTTATAGATTTATGTGTAATCGGCAAAATGAAACTCTTTCAAATCATGACAACTTCCTACGATTTCAAACAAAGATTTATCAGTAATATCTCTACAATAAGATATATCTAGAAATTCTAATTTTGGCATGATCGTGCAATTGCACATAGACCTTTATCAGTTATTGCTCGAGTATCCCACAAATTGAGATACCCCAAATTAGGATATGCGCCTGCTATCGGATTTAACGCATTATCACTAAATCCGTACTACTCTCGAAATTTAAATAAATTATATTTGGGTATGAACCTATAATGCTCTTGATTTTTTTATCCGAAAGTGAATGGTAGCATGTAATTTCGAGATGCGTTAGATTTGAGCTATAAATTGGCTTTTGCTTCCCACATACTAATTTTATAAATATTTCCAGTCGAGAGCACAATAGTTATAATCATCTGGAAAATAATGATGATAGTACAAGTCATTACCCTTTAGCTTGATATGTTTCCACAGAATAGGTGCACCGCATTTGTACCATAATCGGCAAACAAATAGAGCGGGATAGAGGGATTTATTTACCGCCAAGAAATATAAAATCTGTTCTAATGCTTCTGCTATATTAAAAATGCTTGAATGCGCCATAAATAATATATGCTGTATCTTTAATTGAAAAAAATAAATTAGCCGGCAAGTTCTCTAGTGCTGAGAGGACTGTCATAATTTCTTCTTTCTCAAAAAATCTGGTGATATTTTTTAAAAGAAATATTTTTATTAGAAATTTCTTTAAATAGCTGATGATTTCATAGGTCATTAATATTACAAATAACTTTTAATTTTCTACCTTTTTGTTGACTGAGTTTTTTAATTAAAGAGTATAAAGAATTAGGCGTGTTCATATAACATATAATAATATTAGTTATATAACTTTATTTTATATTTTTTTATATTGGTTTATAATCATAATTTGTGCCTTAATGATTTACAGTATATTCAAGGAAGATATGCTCTTGATTTTAATAATACTCGACAACAACTGGAAAATGATATTACAACACGAGAAACTCAAGAAAATTCATCACCATAATTACAAATAATAATAATATTTATTTGAATATAAATTATTATTAATGTTGTTCAAGTATGTTAATCTAACGTTCACCTAATTCACATAATTTGGTCCATGCTTTCGGAGGTTTCATTTTTAAGATTTCATCTGGAAGTGTGATCAACTGCATCAAAAGACCAGATTCCAAATGCCACTATAAAAGATAATTTTAAAATCAGAATTGTATTCATTTTTTCATGTATCACCAAAAAATCTTTACATACCTCGTAAAAAAAATGAAATGAATGGAAAAAAAAAGGTTAGTGGATTTGTCAAAAAAAAAACAAAATAACGAACAAAAACGGAATGAAAAAATAGCATATCATGTGACAGTGTATTCCCCAGATTCCGGGATTGTCGGAAACAAATCTGATAGCAATCCATCTAAAAAAAAATTACATTCGCCTGTTTAGTCTGTTTTTCATTTTGCTAATGGGGACTATTTGTCACCCATTATATGTCACCGGTGAAAGAAAATGCAAATTTTTTTACCCTTTGGCAGGTATTGTTGCAGTATCACGCTTGATTGGATTTTGTGTATTCAATTCATCTTCGTCAACTTTAGTTCCATTTCCGGTTCCAAGTACCCAAAATTGGTATCCATGCTATTTTTTAGAAAAAAAAGTTAATTTTTTAAATCATTTATGCCGATTAATTAGCTTTACATACAATGTGAAACGGATGTTCGCCATCGTCAGTATCTAAAAAAAAATATTTGTTAATAAAATCATAAAATTGAAAATTCTTATACAATTGTTAATTAATTATACTTACTGATGAAATAAATATCAACTACTTCGTCAGCTTTATCAAAAACATAGGCATTTGCACTAGGTTCGTTAAATGATACCTTTTTAAAGATTTTATCTAAAGTCGGAAAATTTATATCGGGTATATAAGAAGATTCATTAAGGAAAGCTCTAACAACTCCTGTTGCATTCTTATGAAAATCAATTTTGAATTCCAATTTTTTCGTTGATTCGGGAATCTTTTCTTCTTTAAGTGGTTGTAAAGTCTTGTGATCTAGATCAACGCATTCTGTCAAGGAATCTGACCATGGATTATCTTTTGGTTCAGGTTCATCGGGGGCTCCTTCATAATGTACTATAGCTTTCACAATAGGAAGACTAGCTGCAGCATCTGGCATGCATTTCTTTTGAAATTCAGAACGCATTATATAATTATCGGCAGGTTGGTTTGCAGTAACAATAACAGAATATCTTTGAGCGACATTGATGGGAAGACGATGGATTTTATTTCGTTTAGTATAGAAACCGTCGGCTTCTATAACTTCCATTTCATGTTTATCAATAGAAAAGAAGAATGCCGAAAATGCGCTAGAAAAATAAAAGCGCTCGTCACTTTTAAATTTTTTTTTTTGAATTGCATAATACGATGATGTAGATTACCTAGTATTAATGATACGAAGGCGATATTTTTTATTTTGAACAAATTCAAATTTAGCAAGACCGGCATTGTCCACACATTTAGAACCCGGTGGGGCCTTGGAGCAATCGAAATTATTTTTTCCATTGATCAAACCGTTATCGGGAACTGTAGGTGTAGGAATCGTTCTAATTAGCATCACGCGGTCATACCTTTTGTACTTATATCAATCTTTCTTACCTGGCTATTATAATATAACGAGAATGAATTAATATGAATTTAAGAATTTCGAATTAAGCTTCAAACATTAAATTTACCTCCACTCCTTTACTTTCAGGAGTTAAGAATTGTTTTAATAAAATTTGTGCATTGGTGTGATGATAATCATTCAACATGACAATAATTTCCTCGTCATATTCCGATTTATACGGATCATCAGGATCGTGAATAACTAATAAATTAAATAGAGAAGTCATAAGGAATTAGATTAAAAAAAGTCGATTTAAATTAAATAATTAAATAACTTACTTAACGCGCCAAAAATGCCATCAACATATTGCATCGTTTCATGCGCATGACTAAAGAAATATTATAGATAGACAGTGAGTACATACGAGTTCAAATGATTCTTTTTTGTCTCATAAATACTTACTACCAATGAGTGCCGACTTCTTTGGGAACAGTGAAATTGTAGGTGAATTCGTAATCGTCTGGTATAACGCATTGAGCCTGATGGTGTACGTGTTAATCGATGATTGGTCAAGATTGAAAGAATATAATTATACGAATCGGTTTTTTCCATAAACTCACCATCCATGGTACTCCATCGAACCTATATAATCGATTGTGAAATTAGTATGGTCTTTGTAAAAAATAATTCCGGTAAAAAAATCACATACCAAGGAGTCCCTCTTTGAAGCATCCCATGCGCATGCATAGCTATTCATTTTGCAATATGCGCTTAAAAACACGTACAACACATAAAATGTAGGAAAATATTCGTTGCAAATTACCTGTTGGTTCTCCCAATTTATTACGAATTTTCATCACAATACGATCTCCTTTGTTAGCTTCTATGGTTGGTCCAGGATATTGTCCATTAACGGTTGATAATTGACGAGTAAATCCATCTGGAGCTAAAGTAACTTTTTCTACAGTGAAATCAACATAATTTGTTTTTGGTTTATATCCCCGGTTCAAAATTGGCGTGGGCGAGACTACTGCCGTCCAAAAAATAATATAAAAGATCCCATAAAAAATCATTGTTATATTATTAATTTCAACGCGTTAAATTAACCAGAATTAGGATATCTTGGCAGTATTTTATATCTTTCATTATCACGTATTAATTTTTATTATTTGTCATTCTAGAATGAAATAAAAATTATTTGTCTTTGGTTTATATCCAGGAAATTAATTAGAATTAAGAATATCTTGGCGGTATTTTATATCTTTCCTTATGATTTTTTATTATTTGTCATTCTAGAATGAAATCAAAATTATTTGTTTTTGGTTTATACCCCCGGTTCAAAATTGGCGTGGGCGAGACTACTGCTGTCCAAAAAATAATATAAAAGATCCCATAAAAAATCATTATTAATTTAAACGCAGTATTTTATATCTTTCATTATCATATGCTCTATGAATGGCCCGTATTTTTATTATTTGTCATTCTAGAATGAAAGTCATATGTAATTAAAAAGATCGATGCTTTTTTTATAGTAACCCATTTAGTTCTGTTTACGATAAGTATAATTTATTCTTATAATTTTGAGAATAGCTGTAAGGCGACTATTTATCCTTTTTTTGATAAATTGTTTTGGGGGGTTATTAGGGTTTGGAATCGATTCAATCGAAAGTCGAATCTTTATTTAAATTGTAATAATATTGCCGATCAATTCCGATTAATTTCAATTAGTGGCTTTTAAATGACTTTTTTGAGTTTTTTTTATTGCAGCAATTAGGTGATACTTAATTGACAATTCTGTTATTTAGTCAAATCACTATAACTAATAAACTATTTATTGTTGAAATAAACTTTCAAATAATATTATATCTAATATTGACAGTTTCTAATAAAAAAAAATAAAACCAGAAATTCCAAGTCCAAATTCACGGAGTCTAATTAATAAAAAATATTTTAGAAAAATTGGGGGTCTGAGACCGTTTCTTGAGATTTCGCCTAGCCTTCTGTATTCCGCTTATCCGCTATGACGTCCTTACCAACCTTGACATGGTTAATATCAAAAGAATTGATGTTTAATTTTTTAATTGAAATTGAAAATTTTTTTTGCCATCGATTTGTATTGCTTTTGAAGTAGATTGAAAGATAGAGATGGTGCGCTATCAAATTGATTGAAAGCTAAAGAGGATGTCCCGTCGATTTGTGTTGCTGCTTGAAGTGGATTGGAAGTTACTATGCTAGACTTAGCTGGTGAAGCAAATACATTCTTTTTTTGTTCTCGAAAAATAAATTCTTTACGGCTTGAATCTTTTGCACTTCTTGGCTTATATTTATAATTAGGATAAATACGCTTGTGATTCTCATAGGCTATTTTCTCTAATATTTTAAAAAAACGCTTGACATCTTTTGGCTGCGATTTCCACATTCCTTTGCTGTATGTTTAACCTTTTGCTTAACATCGGGATTTTGTAGATGTAACTTAACTCATAATCTTTTCTAAATATAATCCAACTGTTTTGTTGTCGTGGTGGTCTGTCACATTTTATTACGATTTTTCTTGGCAGGCTTTGTTAATTCTTCAATTGTGAGAGTAAGAGCATAAGAACGTTTAATTAGAAACTTTCTTTCGGCTTCTGATAAATAAAAATATTCGTCATTATTGATTTTTTATTTGCTTTTTCTGGATGTTTTTAATATAGTGGTGGGTGGTGATAAGGATGATGAACTCTTGACTAAGAGTAATATCATAATGAAATATGATTAATATTTTTAGCGTAGTAGATTTAGATTTTTAGTATTTTAGATTAATTTTTTGTCATCGACGTGGTGGTCTTCGTCGTTGTTAGAAAAAAGAGAGTAACTAAGCAGCAGAAAAGGACAGAGAACGAAATCCGTAAACACATAGCAATAATTAAAATATTAAATCTAAAAAATGGTTTTAATCGGACAAAAAAAACTTATTACACAAAAAAGCCTATTGCAGGAATCTTATTTATCGACCATTGTTTTGATATGTAGGAGAGCATTTATTATATATGCACTAAAAATACAGTCGTCTCTTTCTAATAGTCAGGGTCGGAACCATAGCGAAATTTCGTGATTTTAGTGAGTATATAGGGATTTTTTATAATGATTTAGTAAAAGGGACTTAAATTATATTTTGATAACTATGCTGCGATTATATAGGGGTGACTATGTGTAAATAAATAATTACCGTATTGTATATAGAAGGTGTCGTTTGACGCAGTAGTGATAGCTTAAATGAAATTCTGATAAAAATCTTGGTGATAACGTATTGAATCAAGCATGAGTTTTACTGATTATTCTTTTTTATGCGTGAATTATATGAATTCCGTGTCCTTATTCCTAAATCTTTTTTTCAACCATTTCATCTTAATTGGAAGATGAATGAATTTTCACATCATTTCAAAGAATGAACGTGAAACAAAAATGGAAAGTTTAAGTTTATTCTGTTTTAACTACATTGAAACCCACTTCCAACCATTTAAAAGTGAACTTTGGAACAGGGTTTGTAGAGTTAAACGATTTGAGGATGCAGTTCCTTGGATAACCCATTAAGAAATTGATTTCTCTTTCAATAAATTCCCTTTTTCGGGATACACCCATTTACACCCTTGAAATTGAATCCAATATGAATAAATAAAGTTAGTCTTTACTATGCATATCGTATCCCATATAGGTTCA